AGCGTTGAAGGTGCTGATGGTGAATCCCAAATCTGTTAACAAACAAAAATATAAATTAAAATTTATAAACATATAAGAAGTCTCAATACATACCTTAAGAATGTGACTAAGTCGCAGCTGTTTTGCAATCTAAAAGCAGAAATTACATTATAATTAAATAAAATTGTTAAATACGTATTCTTACCTTCAAAATTTTCGCAAAGTGACATTTCTTCACAGTATGTATACTGTCATCAAAACTCCGATGTTTCTAACTTGCTCGCTCTAACGCATAGAATTCTTATTAGAGTACGAATTCTTATCGGGTATGTAGCTCTAACAAAGGGACATTTTTTGACAGTTCGAACAAAAAATTTGTAAGTGTGTGGGTGAGATGACTAAAAAGTTGTGAATGTGTTTGTAAATCGTTTGAATTTCAGGGGAAAGTGGTGAGCCGTGGCTGGCAGGGAGGTTTACCCATGAACCAAAAATACAAGATCACGCCCTCTTCTTAGTAGCCCGTTATAATCGTATCTAGGAAAAAAGTTGGGCGTCTTTGACATTAGCCGTTTGTTTACATTTGTTCGTTGTTTACAATTTGGTGGTGGCTTTTTACTGCAATTTTCTTAATTTTCGCTTGTGACAACGTGTGCACACATAAGGTAAAGAATAATTTAACACACCGACATGATGTATAGAAGAATTTGCATAATAAAAATGATTATTCATGCGTTCAATAATTACGCGTTTTTTTTTTGTTCTCTTCGTTGTTTACTTCTTCCAACAAAGATCGCGTCGAGATTTCAACAGCTAGAAAATAACTTGTTTCTTTCTTTCGGGAAGGCGTGATCTTGTGTCTTTCGTTCATGAGGTTTACCACGGTGCAACGAACAAAGGTGGCGCCGTCAGTGGTACCGCTACTTTGGTTTTGCCGATTTTGACAGTTGTTGTAACTTGTAAATAAACCTTTGTTTACAAATCAGCGAAAGAGAAGTTTGAATTATAAGTGAAAAATCAGTTTAAATCGTGTTAATTTGCAATTTATGAGTGATTTTTGAGTTGAAGACTGCGTAAAAACTAATATAATGAAGTGCTGTGTGTTAAATTGCGACAACCGTCGAGATGCAAGAAGCGTAGATGCAAGTGTAGCGCTGGGACGAATCGGTGCATTTTGTGTACATAGGGCACGGCAAAGCCGTTCCCGAAATGTTTCTCTATTATTATATTAACAGTATTTCCTCACAGTGATTTTGTTTCTGCTCCACGCAGTCTCTATTAGCAAGTTAACTTATCAGTCCCGCAGAGATGCTGCTGCAGTTTTCTGCAGCAGCTTTAATTGCAAAGCAATAGAGTGCACTAAAACGTTTGCTGAAGCAGCCTCAATTGTAAAGCAATGGAGTGCACTACAATGTTCACTGTTCTCTAATAGATTAGGTGAAAAATGCAATATTTTCGCATTTAGCAAAATTAAAACACGTTTTTCGCAGTAAAGTGAACTGCTTTGGCTGTTTCAACTCGTTCTTCTTTTCGCTCTATTCCTTGTTTACTTGTGGTACACAAATGTCAACACCCAGGACGGCGCAATCTTGTATTCTATCATTCTTGCAGGTTTACAGGATTTAGTCAGAACTTAAAGGAAGTCGTTCCTATTGACATAAAACCTGTAAGTGGAACACTTTTATTTATTTATTTATTTATTTAGTTAATTTGAGAGAGTAAGTGAGCAACTGTTCCTAGTCAGAAGTTGCAGAGTGCAGAGTCCAGAGATTTTTTTCCTGTAAGTTCATGAAAAGTGTCAAACGATCGCCTGATTTGCATGTGCAAACAAAACAGAAAACGGTGAAAGCAAAGAACCTTATATTTGTAAAAATTGGAAGTAAACAACGAAATATTTGAATATGTATAAATTTTAATAATTATTTAGTGATATTTATTTATGTATTATTATAGTCTATGAACAATAAATTCTGACAGACTATGGGAAGGTTAAAAAGTATTTAATTTAACAACTTAATTTCGGTAATTGAGTTTAAAATATTCACAAATGATGACTTTGGTAGCGAAAAATCGATATCGATAGAATTAGAGATTATATTGAATTCATTAGCAGCTCTGCGAGGGGTGCATTCCGAGCATAATTCGTATTACAATAACTGCAGTAAAACGTATAGCAGAACCGAAGGGATCTTTGCGGAACATTAAAGTGGATACGTTCCAAGAGGTATGGACAGTCAACAGTTTCTTGAATAATGCCCAAAACAAAAGATAGGAAAAGGACAGACCTCCTTTTTTCCAACGATTTTAAACTAATCAGCGATGAGCGATCACTATAGGATGGAATCGGGTCAGAGAAACGTAAGGAGCGTAAAGCGTATTTAAGGAACACCTTTTGAACGCGCTCGATCCTGTCAATCTTAACTTGATGGGACGGACGCCAGTTAAAAGCAGTAAACTCCAGATGAGAGCGTACGAACGAGGTATATAGCCGTTTTAAGGTATATGGATTAGAGAACTCGGCACTATTCCTCCTGACGAAGTCAAGCATAGCATATGACTTAGAAATTATGGAATCGATGTGGCCATTAAAGAAGAGCTTGGTGTCAAATATAACACCAAGATCCTTAATTTTTCTGATAAACTGCAGCGTGCGACCTGAGATACCATACGAGGTAACAAACACATTTGGGGACTTAGAGAAAGTAACATAAAAACATTTATTAATATTAAGAGAAAGGCGCGATTGAAGGCACCAAGCGTGCAGGTTGTCAAGCTCTGTTTGAAGTTTGAGCATGTCGGAAGTGCCCTATATGTTCGAGAATATTTTCAAATCGTCGGCGTATAACAGATAATTTGAAAACGAATGTTATTTATAAAGAACACAAAAAGCATTGGCCCGAGAATACTACCTTGAGGCACGCCCGAGGTCGCAACGAAGATATCAGACGAAAAATGGTCTACCGAAACAACGCAACGCCTGCAACACAAATACGACTTAAGCCAGTTAAAAAAACAGAATGGAAACCTAGGAATTCGAGTTTCGCAACTAGAATTCTATGCGATACCTTGTCGAAAGCCTTCGAAAAGCCTGTGTAGATGCAATCCACATGAAATGCATTAGAAAAAGCCGAAATACAATATTCACTAAAGACCGCAAGATTTGAGACCATGGAGCGCCCAGGTACAAAACCATGTTGGTAAGGGCAAATGATGCACTTGACCGACAAATACATTTTATCCTTAACGATGCATTCGAACAGTTTAGACACCGTAGACAGTTTATAAATCGGTCTATAGTTACTAATATCATTTTTGTTTCCACTTTTGAAAATTGGAGTTATGGAGGCCAATTTCCAAGCATCTAAGAATACCCCAGTAGAAAGACTTGTTAAAGATAATTTTCAATGGAAGCATCAGTGCTGGACAGTTTTTAAAAAGTGCGGATACTCCATCGATGTCAGAGGTCTTCAGAACAACAAGACCTTTCGCTACACCATCGTATGAGAGGTAAAGGGAACCAAAGCCAAATGAGGAACTAACACCGGATGCATCCAATATCAAGATTTGTGTCTAAATCACACTCGAAGTTGGATTTCAAGAACTCAGCGGACAGATTAGCAACATCAGCGGGAGTATCCGCGGATTTATTATTGAGGAAAACTGAAGATGGAATAGAAGAGCATGATTTTTTCGATTTGACAAAGTTCCAGAAGGCTTTGGAGTTAGATTTAATATTAAGTTCGTAATTAAGGACATCATTTTTGTGAAGAAACTTATCAAGGCAGTTAAACTCTTTTAAAAAACGCTTGTACATTGAGTAGTAACTCCGACTATTGGTTGATTTGTATTTGTTATAATATTTATTTCGCTGATTTTTGAGCTTTGATCGAGAATTATACCAAGGTAGATTATATGGCTTACTTTTGACGATGAGAACATTGGCAGAACAAATGTCAAACAAAATTGTCTTGAAGGTGTTAAAGCAGTTGTCGGCATGCAAGTCATCGAGCAATTCCGACCAGTTCAAACCTGCGAACAACTTGTTAATGCCTTCAAAGTCACAGCGAGCGTACTTGAAGGCAATATTATTAGTACCTATAGTAATCGGTGCGAAATGATAAAATTCCATCTTAAGAATGAGCGCAACATGATGCAGACTTGCTGCTGTAATTGGGGCAAGGCATTTGGTAATGTTGTAATTTACCCCTTCACAAATGAAAATTAAATCTAAAATTCTTTCGAGCTCGTTTACAAAATTAATAATTTGCGATAGGTTAAGACTAAGTAAATTATCAATAAGATAAGATTCATGAAAGGAAGATAGATTATTAGGAGTAAGCCCATTGGAAGTATAACTATTTGACCACTTAACATTACTAAGATTGAAATCGCCGAATACACAGATAAGATTGTCCCCCCTCGTATTTTGAACAAAATATGTAACGTTGTCTGCATGAGCCCTATATAGGAAATCCACACTATTTGGTTTAATGTACGAAGCAAATAGAAACAAAGAACCCGAAATTGATGACCCATCAACACGAACGCAAAGCTATTGAGTCAGTATTATTCAGGTTGATCGATGAAGCGCGGAATTTTCGATTCACTGCAATCAAGACGCCTCCGCCCCTGGAGCGACCAGTCTTAGCAGAGAGCATGGGGTCGAAGAATTCCGAATCGAAAAAATCGGCAGTAAAACATGTTTCAACAATAACGAAGATAACAAAGTCCTGTTGGGAGCTGAATGTAATAACCGGATCAGATTTGGTTCTTAGGCCGGAGATATTTTGAAAATATCTTCTTAAATTATTACAATCTTTAGGCATATCTGAACTAGCTTGTGGCGTAATGGAGCTAGCTGAGTTCCTTAAGGCCCTCCTTGGGGAAAAAACGAAACGGGCGAACATTAATGCCAGCCGAATAGTGCAGACGAAATTCCAAGTTTGAAGTTCAACCATTTGACAGCGTTTTCGGGCGTATCTTTTTTAATTAATTTGTAACGTACCTTACACCTTACACCTTACCTTACCTTACGCACCTTACTTTACGCACCTTAGCATTAGCAGCAACAAACCCAGCAGCAGCAACGCCTGCATCAAGATCAGCATCAGAAAACAAATTCAAAATATTACTGTTGCTCGGAGCATTTGGCGATGGATTACCAGCAGTGATCTAGTGATGAGTAACAGTACCATACCCACAAGAATGCGCATGGCCACAGGTACCATCAATAGCAGGGAAAGTTCGTGTATCAGCACCACCAGCAACGTCGCCAGCAGCAGCAGCAGGTGTCGAGCGAGGCGAATGTAAATTACCAGCAATTGGCAGTTTATCGGGTTTCTTAACATCAGAACGTGCGGGAATTAGACAAACCTTAGCTGTATGCCCCTTAGCATTGGCAGCAACAGCACCAGCAGCAACAACGTCCGCGTCACAATCATCATCAGAGGACAAAACCACAATATTAGTTGTTTTCTTTTGTACCCGAGCTGCAAAAGAACGATAGGTAGGTTATCGAATTACGTGGAAAGCAACAACACAAAATAAGCAAGTTGAGTTAATATAAGCGGTTTGAGTTGAAAACGCTTAAACATAGCCGACCTGATGAATAGTGTTGCAAAGTAAAAAAGCGGCACTATTGTGAATGAGTCACTGAAAAGTACTAAGGGAAATTTTTGCTAAATGTCAAACTGATGGGGAAATTTCAGCCAAATTTCAAAACTAAGAGAAACAAAATGGAGCGGCAGTGAGTAAAATGGCGTCTCATAGTTTTTTATAAAATTATCAAATAAAATGTGATTCATATTTCAGAATACAAGATAAGAAACGAAGAAGATGGACCCGCGAAGAAACCACAGGTTTTTTGAGGTCTACCTTGCGCGGAAGGAAGAATTCCAGCACCCTAAAAAAAAGAGGTTGGCATACGTAAATGTGTTAGAAGATATGTTGTCAATCGGCATTACGGTGCGTAAAATACAAAAAATAAAAGTTTAAAATGAGGAATTTAAATAACTATTCTTACTTTTAGGATTCGGAGAGAACACCATTGTGCTTGGAGTCGAAGATGCGCACTTTACTTCAGGCGTACAAAGCGCCAAGCGACAACAACCGCAGTATGGGTGCCAGCCCTTGTTTTGCGATATTTATGGAGCTAATGGAAGAAATCTTTGAAAGGAGCCCAATAATTTCTAACAACCACACCGTCCACGTGAGCTTCAGACCGGCTACAGTACTGTCGGTGAGCGTAGTGGCGTCAACATCATCAAAGACGCCACAGCCATCTCTGTCACTGCTGCCACCGTCACCATCTCAATCTCCATTGCTACCACCGTCACCATCGCCAACTCCAACGCCACTACCACCACCGTCATCATCTCAATCTCCATTGCTACTACCGTCACCATCGCCACTACCACCACCGTCACCATCGCCATCTCCATCCCCATTTCGAAAAAAAAAAATTGAGCTGACGAAGTTGCAGGCGGAAGAAAAATTAAAAATGAAGGCTAAATCTATACAGCAATTTAAAGAATTGCTTAGAGAAAAATTTGAAAGAGATGCTGATATTGAAAAAAGAAAACTTGAGTTGCTGGAAAAACTGGCAAATAAGTAGCACTTTGCTTTTTTCATAATTATTTAATTTGATTTACTTTTTTCTGAATTAGGATTTTTTTCTTTGAATTTAAATTTTTATTTTTTTATTAGCTCTAAGAAAAGTACTCGTTATATTTTTTATTTGTTTTAATTTAATATGAAATATGAATGGATATTCGATGTGAATTTGATAGCCTTGAATTTTTTATTAGCTTTAAGAAAAGTACTCGTGATATATTTAGAGATTTTTTGATTTGAATTACCAAAGTGTTGAAATAAGTTGACTGAATTTTTGTTTAATTATGGTTTTCATACTTGTTAATTCAAACTAGTTAATGGTTTACAAATATATGAATGTAATATATATTTAAATAATATTTTGTTGTCTTAAATAATTAAAAAGGTTTTGTCTCCTATCAAGGTTTGCATCCAAATTTGACTCCTCAATTTCATCTTCAATAACAAAGGGGTTCGCTTCGTCTGTGTAATTTTCTTCATTAGCGTCGCACAAATCGTCAAAAGTTATGCAAATGTTATGTACAACACACGTACTGACCACGATGTTCGTAATCATCTTCAAATCTGTTTGCTCTGTAAATTTCAGCAGCCTTCGGAAACGTCCTTTTAACAGCCCAAACGCATTTTCAACTACCATTCGCGTTGAAGAATGTATTTCGTTGAATTTTCGTTGGGTTAAATTTCGATTTAAATTTAAATGGTGACACCAGCCATTTCGTCAACGGATATGCCGAATCTCCGATAATAAAATAGGAATCTGAGGACATTTCTTCATAATATCTTTCGGCATCGTGGAATAGTTTTGATCTTCTCAAAACTATGAAATCATGAAGCGAGCCAGGTTCACCACAAGTTATGTCCGTGAACTTTTTATCGGCATCTACTACGGCTTGAACCACCAAGCTGTACGATTTTTTTCGATTAAAGTTCATCTGTTTTTGATCTTTCGGCCCCTTAATAACAATACGTGTGCAATCTATAGCTCCAATCACGCCAGGAATACTTTTTTTTGGTGAAATTTTTCCGTTGTATTTTGCAAATAAGCACCTTCTGGCCACTTGATGTATTCATGGCTAATAGATACCATGAACTGTTGTCCACGCGGCCGTAGTGGCTATCCCAAACAAATTACCTAGCTGCCTAAATGTCACGGTGTTGCTTATGTACCAAATATACATATAAACTGCCTTTTTGGGGGAAATGCGTGACCTACCACCACCAGACTGGTCAGGAAGAAACGCAGATATTGAATATTTCGCTGAAATAGGAAAAGTTTTTTAAATTGCTAAATGCGCTTGTTTCAAAAAGTTTGCATTTATTACTTGTTAGATACTCCACTGTTTCACGTATCAGTCTCATGTTAATTTTGAAGTCCATCTCACTCATTGCATCGAGAGTACCTTCAAAGTTGGAACACCTCTCATGATGTTCACTTTCGCTTTCCGAGTCTTCAGAGGATGAACTGGAACTTTCAAATATGGTTTCCAGTATTTCGATTACGGTTTCCCATGCTCTAGCCTGGCATAATTCACGCTGCTCGCCCATACACATCGACACAATCACTTATTAAATATAATTATTTATTATAAAATATATATATATGTATATTTACCAAAGATTTTTCGGAATTACTCACTTTGTTAAATGTTTCGCTCAAAAATTTCACAAACAGTCCACATTTTTTGACAGCTGACACCAGTGTTGTGAAGTGAATGCAAATTATAAGACAGTTAAATATAAGCCAGTTGAGCGTTCTTTTGCAGCTCGGGTACAAAAGAAAACAACTATTAGTTGTGTTTTAGCATTTTCCAGCATTTGGTAACTGGTTAACAGCAGTATTCTGTTATGAGAAAATAGCGGCATTCTTGTTCTTATCCTCTGCTAGCGATTTAATTTCACTGCAGAGCTTTTCATTTACACTCCGAAAATTTTCAGTTTGTTTTGTCAGTTCTTCAGCCAGCACTCTCACTTTCGCTATTGTTGTTGTTAGTATTTCTGTCTTTTTAACGAATAACTCCTGGTGCATTTTTATGTTCGCTAGTTTCTCGCTGAATTTCTCATCCATCAAACAGATTAATTGCTTCACCTCCTTCCTATTCACTTTCAATGCTTCCTCAAATTCGTCTTAATACTCTTTCAGGTACATTTTTTTTCTTGACATTCTTCGTGATGTCTCGAAACACAAGATCGACATTTTGTATGTAGATGATGCACTCCGGGCAAATAAATTTAACCATAGGATGCATTCCAATAATTGTCGCCTTGTAGTTATCCAAGCCCGAGCATTTTGTTGCTGAGTGAAATAATTTTCCACAAACGCCCTCACATCGCAAGCCCGACCCGCCTCGAATCAGTGATTTGCAATTTACACACTTGTCATTATCGGACATTTTTGCTTATTTCGTTTCGTTTTATTTTATTTTATGCCCTATGTGTGTATGTAAGTATTCACTTTAGCATGTATTTGTTCTTGATTTTGGTACACAAGCTTTTAATTCCGCTTATTACGATTATATTCGCCGTTCCTTGGCCCAAAGCAGTTCGGCCAAACCATTATTATAATTAAATAAAACTGAAGTTTTATTATTATAGTGTCAATTTCACTTAATAATTTATGGAAATCTGCTTACGCAACATATTAATGTGTATATTCTCACAATTAATGTTGCTGAGCACTTATTGCGGAGTCAAAATACGTACGTGCACACAAACCGATGTAACAGTGTAAGAATTGAATATCTTCGTTATTACTCAACTTTTTGCTATAGTTGGCCCTCCTTGGGGAAAAAACGAAACGGGCGAACATTAATGCCAGCCGAATAGTGCAGACGAAATTCCAAGTTTGAAGTTCAACCATTTGACAGCGTTTTCGGGCGTATCTTTTTTAATTAATTTGTAACGTACCTTACACCTTATTGAATATCTTCGTTATTACTCAACTTTTTGTTATAGTTGGGACATGAAAAGATAGAGAATTAAAATATCTTTTAGAATTATAGGTTAAAAACGTATTTAAAATGCATAATATGCCTTTTTTCGAGCTCACACTCAACTGTGTGCGTACGCAAAGCATTCGCATGTGGCATTCAGCCAAATCAGTGTTGTACCAATGGCAAGTAAACAAATCAACTGACGTTTTTACAGGAAATAGTGCTTTTTGCGTTCCCGTGCACTTCTGCATCTGTTCTCCTTTTACTCTCACTTGAGAGGGTAGAATTGTAGTTTGACAGGTTTTAGTCCGAAGTTCAAAGGAACAGACTAATACCATGTCTCCATTGAGAGATTTATCCATTAAGATTTAATAAATCCCAGTTGCTAAATCACAACCGTCTCCAATACCATTACGAGATATGTTTGACGTTCACATTTTTAAATATTTGACGTTTGCTTATGTATGATTTTACAAATACAGTTGCGGACATTGATATACAGACAGATAAAAGGAAGGTACCAAGCGGAATTTCATTATATGAATTCTGAATATTATTGGCTTCTTATTCGTGGTAAATATGTATGTATAATATATAGTTTGGAAAGTGTAAAGAATGGTACCATATTCCGAATCATTTTCCCGAATTTAAGAAAAATTATCAAAACGGTAAAAAACATTTGCGGAAAGAAAAATTTTTGTAGAACTCTCTTATTCATAGGAGGGAACCGAAAATCCAATCGTGGGCCTTTGGCATATCATGAATACGAACTGAGTTCTAGAGGATGTTCGGTGCAATGTTATCGAAGCAGAACCATTACCGAAATTTATAAATTTTTTGTCGCAGCGCGTAAATGACTTATAGAAAGCGGAGAAGACTCTGCATGATATTACTATAAAACATTTCTTCTAAATTTTTAGTTTTTAAAATAATATTTTCTTAATTTATTACAACCAAAGTTATGTAAATATGTATTACTAATTTTCCTCCCAAACTAACAAAAATATAAAAATCCCTAAAAATACGAAAATTCATGTTTTTATGATAGGCGAGATTTCAATGTCCTCAACTGTATATTGAAAACACAAATGTCATTTGACTTATGGCATGTGAATTTGTGGTTGCCACATCCAACAAATTGTACTTATTGATCAATATTATTGAAGATTTGACGAAGATTTAACTTAAATCTACTGCCTTTCGAGATTTAATTTTATATGGTAAATCTCAAAAGATTTAACGTCAAATCTCGTCAGAGGGCTAAATCTTCATTAAATCTCACAATGGAGACATAGTATAACAAAAATTATTTTGTTAACTCTTCACTCTAGGAACTATTCTATATGTGGATTTTCACTATTTATGCACTATTAAAATATACATACATACATTCTATTAATATTATGTTGTTATTGCACTAATTAATTGCAACTTTTTTAGTAGAAACGTTTAGTGCCAAAATATCATCTACCATACGACATTAACTGAAAAGATATTGACACTCTAAAACAATTTGGACAGATTTTAAACAGCAATTTCCAAAATTGTTTCACATACATAGCTTATCAACATAGTGAAATAATATAAAGTATGCCAGCCAGTTTTATGTAAGCTTATTTCAAAGCAAAATTTTAGTTTCGTAATTTTCACTTTTTTCAATTCTGGCATTAACCCTTGGTTTTGTTGCATACTTCTGCCCGATTTCGGTTTAGATCCTTATCCTGATGGACTGAAAACCTCAGTAATGCAACGTTATGTGTGCTTTTGCACAAGCGGCAAGAATTTATTGGCATGATTTTTTTTATTTTTTACTCAAATCAACAAACTTCATAATTCCTAACTCAAAGGGGTTAACATGAAAGTCAAATGAAGGAAAAAAAATGATAATTAATTGGCAAATAAGTGTACCGAAATAGAATGTCATTGCTAGCTGGCACACTTTATATTAGTGGGATAAATGAAGCATCGCAAAGTTGTTTCAAATGTCGCATTTGCCGTTGTGACGCAGCTGATTACTTTTGTATAGGAACTTTCTTGTATTTGAGCTGGCAATCATTCTGAGAAAATTGTCCTTAAACTCGGTCCAAATTTAAAAAAATTGGGCCCTATAGAGGAGCTTTTTGCGATTCTAAAAGTGAAAACTCCAGAGCGCGGAGGCTTTTATTTAAAAAGTTATTAACTTTTAAAGTTGCACAATTCACCATATAAATTTCATTGATTACATAGAAGTGGTGGAAATAAACACATATATTGGTGCTACCAGATAATGAGAAAAGTGGGGGTTTTTGTATCCACCTTATATTGAAATACTGTTTTATATAAAAAAGCGACGCAGGCGAAGTATTGATTTAAAAAAAATTTTCATTATTTATCGAATTATCGATTTTTATAAGAAAGCGCCGCAAGCGAAAATTTATAATTATGTACTTATCGAAGTATGGTTTTTTTTTTTTGAAAAAAGCGCTACAGGCAAAAGTTTTTAATAAAAAATCGCGCGATTTTTTATAAAAAATTTTCATTATTTATCGAAGTATTGATTTTGGAGAAACTTTCCAATACGGGCGTTCATTAAAGGGGCAGTGGGCGAAGGGGGAGTGGGCGTGGTACCTCCAACCCACCTTTTTGGAGAGGGCATGAACCGCCATTGACCAAAATGCAACCCCCAACCACCTAGGCCCCCTATTGGTCCCTAGAGACCCCTTAGAAAAATGACCAAAACTCACAATTTTTACTTGCGTCCACAGTATTTTTGCATAAAACTCCTTTCTGCGTAGGCGGCCTTCGGCCGCCCTTTAGGATTATAACCCTTACCAAATAGAATTCTCCTTTTGGTGTGCACCAACTGGGGCTACCGCCCCAGTGATGTAGCCTTGGGAAAGGATGAGGTAACTTGAATTCCCTTTCTGTGTGGTAAACCTGGGGCCACCGCCCCAGTGATGTCTTTATGCAGAGCTCTTTGTTTAACATATTTTAAAAACACATTATACTCATTCATTCCGCCATTTCGACTTGTTTGCTTTGCGAAGAATAGTGAAATTATTAAATGCGTTTTATATTGTTAAAAAATAAAATAAGATGCATTTAATGTGCACAAAATACACGTGAACATTGCAAAGATCATATATTTATAAAAACATGAGTGTTAAGTGCTCTTTTTCATATGAAACTTTGCTAGTGAAACTGCAAAGAATTCACCAACGAATTAGTTAAATACTATTACTAATATAGTGAACAGAGTGATAATTAATGTAAATATATACGATTCTTAACAGCCCCGCCAAGTTTTATGACGAAATTCGTGATAGTTTTGTGAAAATAGCCAAAAACCGATGTAATGGAAAGCCAACCCATCATTGCAAAGTCAAAGCCGCGAAACACACGTTTTTTTACTGTCTTCAAATACTTCAAGAAAAAGTATATCAGTTAAGGCTGCTTCGAAATATAATTGTAAAAACTTTTCTTTTTCTCTAAGGCGCGACATTTTAAAAAAATTTTACATTTGCAATTCGGAGTTGCGATAGGTCTTTCATATAACTTTGTTCGCAACATTGCCATTTCGCCAAAAAATGCAACTTTGCGACGTTTTATGAATCGCACTAATATTCCATTATGCTTATAAACACACGACAGCCGATCGAATATGAATGCATATATATGTACATATATACCGGTAAATACATTTATATATGTATATGTATGAACATGTGTTTATATATATATACTAGCTTATACCCGCGGGTTTCAACCCGCGCTTTTATACAAATAGGAAAAATAATTTAATGATGTTAGATTTTATTTCTGTGCCCATTTCGTTATAGCTCGTTATTTTTTAAGCGAGTTAAGGTATTTAGGCCGTTTAAAACTATGAAATTATAAAATCTCGTCTGCGCGCTAGGCATACGAAATATATCAATCCCTCTAAGTTTACCTTAAAATGGTTCCAGGTATACGACGCGTGAACGTGTAACCTTCTTGGAGGTGCCACGGCGGGTTCTAATATTTCCAACTCAAATTTAATAACCTGGCCTTCATAAAATACCACTTCTCATTACTGTAGCAAATGCCTCAAGAGAGCTTTAGANCGAGGGACAACAACAGGAAAGATAAATAACTTAAGAAAAACAGGGGAAAATAGAAATGAAGATAAAGGTCCAGTCCCGTCCTGTCAGGTTGAGTCATCCCGCCCTTCTTCAACGCGGACTCCACGTGAAGCCTTGGGCGTCGTTGTGACTCCTCCTTTACTTTACGACGCCCCCTAAACCTGACATTAGTCCGTCTCTATAAGAATTAGTCGTCGTCTAGTCCATTGTCTTATATGTCCACCCCCCCACTTCCCCTCTATTGCACAAGTGCAACACCCACACCAAATACTTGTGCCTAACACACCATCTTAATCCCCGAAAGCTATTCAGAATTCTGTTTTCTCAATTCATTCTTTTTTTTTATTTTCTTAGCCTAGGGCACAATATTAAAATGCTCTTAACTCTAGCCCTAATAAGTATCGAAATTCATGTATGTATGTATGTACATTTGAATACGGAAATTTATCAAAAAGAAAAAAAAAAGGAAACCTACCACCCTAATATACTAACAGATACAAATTCCACAATTATAGCGATTTATCAATGCAAACTACCCCCGCTAAACTTACTAACGACCTCTTTGTATTTGTTTGGGTGTGCCCTAGGGTCAGTTCAATAATTGTTATTGTAGCTCATTGGTTATAATGTTCTCCAAAACAAAAAAAACTCTGCGAATAATTCCAATACCTCAAACGTAAATCAAAAGACAAAAAAAAATATTACCGCGGGATTAATGAAATCTTCAACTAGACATGCAAGTATATAAGTATGATTGGTATGTACGTAAATAATCACACATAAGTGCAAATATATGTGCATAGCAAGATAAAAAAATTTCTGTACTCACTTTTGGTCTCCAGCGATGGTGGTACCAACACCCTGTTAAGAACCTGTTTGGGGAGAATCTTTATATTTACATATATGTACCAATAGTCTTACATACATACATATGTACGCCTACAGCTAATTAACTGAGGTGTCAACCTATTTCCCTGCCGATAATGTTATCACTCGCTCGTGTTGCGGGGCAGCGAGCGGGTCATAATAT